CCTTCCAACTCCTCATATTCTGTGACTCTGTCTCTCACCCGGGCAGCAAGAGGTGACGGTGCCGTATCCCCGGCTGGTGCCGCACAATGCAACGCCAGGCACATCCCTGGCCCGGTTTTCCATTTTTAGGAGCCTGTCAGAAATGGCACTCCTCTCCACGCAGATGTCGAGAAATTAGAGGGAATTCAGAGAGCGGCAGAGAAAAAAAAAATTTAAAAAAGGATGAAAGGAAATGGAGGGCCTGATTTTTGGAGGGAAAAGAAATCAGCGGAGCTATTTATAACGCTGCCTGCACCAGGGTGGGGAGGAAAAGGCATTTTTTAAGGCTTTTTTTTTTTAAGTGCCTCGATAGCTCAGCTACGGGGAATGGGCAAAGCAGCCTTTGAAGGATGCTCGCAGGAGCTGCAGCGGGGCTGTGTAATGGGTGTAAATGGGGTGAAATGCCATCAGACACGAATGTCTGGGGAACCACCGGTAATGGGTGGGCACAGGGGACAGGTGCTTATCCAGAGTTAAAATAAAAAATACCCTAATAAAGGTGTGTTAGAGGCAGCACTGATGGCAAGGCCTCGCTCCTACCTCTGCTCCTGGCAACAAACTGCGCTTGTATTTACATCCAGCGTTTTATGCCAAAATGTGTGGAAATCTTCGCTTTTTCATCCAAAAGTAAATGGTTTTGGTTAAAAAAGAGCCCCACTGGTTTTAAATTCAGGCCTTAGCTCCAGGGCGATGCACACAGAGGTGGCTGCAGCCGTCTGCTGGGCTGTGGCCCCCCCCAGAGGGATGTGTGATGGAGGGGACCAGGGTGCTTCGGGGTGAGGCACACCAGGGGGGAACAAAGCATCCTGTCCCTATTTCCAAATTAATCTATAATTTCCAAAAAATGTTTGATTTCCAAAGCAGTTGGTCCTTATTTCACAGAATCACAGAGTCATTAAGATTAGAAGAGACCTCCAAGATCACGAAGTCCAACCGTCAACCTGACACAACCATGGCCACTAGGCCCATGGCCTGACGTGACTAGGCCCATGGCCTGAAGTGAAGTATTTCCATATTAATTCTTCATTTCCAAAAAAAGGTTTATTTTCCAAAGCACCCTGTATCTATTTCACAGAATCAGAGAGTCATTAAGTTTGGAAGAGACCTCCAAGATCATCAAGTCCAACCATCAATGCAACACCACCATGCCCACTAGGCCTGTGGCCTGACATGACTAGGCCTATGGCCTGAAGTATTTCCAAATTAATTCTTAATTTCCAAAAAAATATTTAATTTCCAGAGCATCCCGCCCCTATTTCCAAAACTGATTCTTAATTCCCAAATTAATCAGGTGATTTGCAGCCTGAGAAGTGGCTGATGAACCTGTCACCAGTAAAACATCACCCGTCCCCCATTGAGCCCCAGCTCCTAGTGGTGACTCCTCCATCACAGCCAAAGGGGGTTGGAGCAAAAGGGGGGAGTTTGAGGGGGGCAATTTGGGTTTCTCCATGTCCCAGTCCATGGAGGGAAGCTGCCTAACGTGGTCCATGTCTCTCTACTTACCTTGCAGGACATCTCACTCCAGGGCCAAGGCGGAGGCGGCCGTGACGGCGGCGCAGAAAGCTCAGGAGGAAGCGCGGATCGCCAGGATCACTGCCAAAGAGTTTTCGCCTTCCTTCCAGCACAGAGAAAACGGTCAGTGCTTTCGCCCCACACCGCTCTCTGACTCCTTTCAGCCCTGCAGAGACCCAAAAACCCCCAAAAATGAGCCCTGTGTGGAGGCTCAGTCTGTGCCTGCAGCTCTGGGACTCTTGGGGTGGGAAACCACCCCGTAACGCCAGCTTTTGGAGGTTTTAGCACAAGGCTTTCAATATTCAACATTTCCACCCTGTGCAGCCCTGTCGTTGAAGGGATCTCCTCTTTTCACACCGAAACACCCCCATTTTTTTAAAAAATTATGTTTGTGCAGAAAAACAGGAGCTCCGAAAGCAAAATGCAAACACAAATGATCGCAGAGGCAGTCACCGATTTTACCCCCATGGCTTTTATGGTTCATTTTTGTCTTCTGAATGCTTGGGATGGCCAAGCTGGGGCAGAGCTCATTGGTATTTAATCCTTCACTTGGGCGTTGAAATCGGTCGCATGTACATGCAAAGCTGCTGAGGAAATGCACGTTTGAGGTTTGCCTTCATTCCCTCCATTGTCTTTGATATTTCTTACTGGTTTGTCCAAATTTTTTGCCCGTTGACAAGAGGCTCAGTCTCAGCAAAGGCTCAGGGCAGAGGAAGCCAAAGCAAAGCCATGGTGGGGCAGGGGTCTGCAACCGGCGGGCACATGGGGAGGATTCGCTGCTGCGAGTGGGAGTGGAAAGCTCCAAGTCCCCCCAGCAGTAATTAACATAGTAATTAATATATGTGAATGGTTTTATTCAAAAGTTTTCCTGCACCGAACCCTCATTAGGAGGCGTCGATCATTATTTTCTCCCCTTCCAGCTCTTGAACTGAGGATTACTCATTTGGCTTAATTGCGCCAGGGGCTGGTGCCAGTGACTCACGGCGGCGGTGCCGTTCCCCGAGGCCGGGGAAAAGGGATCGTGGCAGCTTTCGGACCAGCCCGTGCTCGCGTCCTCGCTTCACCGCAGCGCAGAGGCTGCGGGGGCGGCCGGGGGCACCCCACAGCTCGGCAGCCGTGAGCCAGGGAGGGTTTTAGGGCTGGGGTGGTGGTAGGAAACCCCCAGCCAGGTCACGGCCATGTGTGGATGGGCATCTGGGGGGACAAAGCATCCTCATAGCCAAGCCCTGTGCATCTCTGCTTGCTGGGAGAAGGCGCAGCCTCTTCAAACACCCCTCGGTGTTTCTCCTCCTGCAGAAGTCCAATTTGTATATCAGAGATCCGAGCTCTTTAGCAGGGCTGCGCGGTCCCTGGGGCTTCTTCAGCCCTGAGATATTCCTCATCTCCATTTCCTCTTGCCAAGAGACTTTGCTGCTTTAAATCACCTCTTGAAAAAGATATTTTTAGGTAATACATTTTTTACTAGCTCCTAGATGGGGACACGGTGCTTGACTTGTGTTGGGTTTTGTGTTCCTGGTGCTCATGTTGTGTGTGAGTAAATGGCGGGGGGAAGGAGTTCCCACTTAGAGCACATTAAAAAACAAAAACACCAAAAGCATGTCGAGGAACCTGGGAAAAGCACAAAATATCCCTGCTCAGTGCCCTGCATCACCCTCTCTGCTGTGGTTTTCCATCTCCCATGTCCCTGTCACACTCCTGGGGTCAGCCCAGGGCTGGATGGTGCTGGTGAAGTGACATCCCCAAGGTGATGGCAGTGGGTTGGTGGCAGAGGCAGGAGCTCAGCACTGCTCTCAAATCCCATCCATGGGTCCTGAGGGGCCCCACAGCACCAGGGGACACGTGCTTGGCTTTGGAGACACCGCGGCCAGGCACCGCTGGCTCCATCCTGCTGGAAATCCAGATTCAGTGCTCCGCATCCTCCTTCGCGCTCGCACAACCGTGCTTCCAGGAACATCACGTGCCCCGTGCCTAATTTTAGCTCAGGAATAATTGTTGCACATCCTCGGGTGTTGAAAGCCGGCAAGACAGCACCGTGCATCTGTCGAGTTCCTCCACACAGAAACGCCCGCGTCCCCGCAGGGCACCGGGACTGGAGGGGCCCCCACATCACTGGCCCCTGCTCATCCGCAGCCCCAGGGAATGAACCTACGGAGAGGAGGAATGAGGTCAGCTCATTGCCAGTCCAGGTGGGAAAGATTTAGGATGAGAGGGTGATTAATGATGTGGATCCTGGTGTGGGGCTCCGGGGTGAGGATGCTGGAGCATCCTTGGGGTTTCTTCCCTTTGTTGTGGGGCTCAGAAGCTTTCAAGTCTCTGCACCACCAGCCTGAGATGAACAGGGACACCCCAAGTTTTGGGTGAGCCTGTTTTGGTAACTGGCTTTACAGCTTTCTCATATGGAGCTGTTTATTCCCTCCCTGCCTCAGTTTCCCACTTGTGAAATGGGAAGGTGGCTGGAATGGGGTCTCGGCAACAGCCACAAAATCAGTCTGTGTTTTTCCCCAGTTATTTTGCATGGAAAAGGAGGGGGTGAGCTCCACCTTCCCTCTTCACCACAATTTCCCACCAGTACAAGGACTGCTGGGGGGCCTCAGAGAAATCCAGGAGGTTCAGTCTCCCGTAGACAAACAGCAACACAGGGAACAAACTAAAACTGAATTATCCGAACATTGTCCCAAAACACGAACAGAACTTTCTGTGGCAAATAATACCAAAAAAACGCCATTAGAAGACAAATTTCCCATTGAGAAATTGCATCAGCAGGAGATTTCCAAGCAGCCTTGTTACTATTAACCTCTCCTAAGAGTGTTTTGATGGGGACATCCATCCCCATGCTCCCAGCATCCCTGCACGTATCTGGACCACGGTGTGCAGGTGAAGGCCCATCCCAGCAGCAGCAGCTCCCCAAGAAGATGCGATAGAGAAAAATTACTCAGCAGAAGCACAGAGATTAGAGCAGGCACTTCAGAGCATATTTTAAAAAAAAACCATGGTGAGAAATTGAGTTCTTCCTTTTTCGAGACTCATTTCTTGTCTAGCCATAGCAATTGCAATTAGATGCATTGCAGGGGCATTAGGCAGTTAATATATTTATTGAATTTAGCATGGCTTGAGCTGGGAACAACTATGCCTTGAGAGGGCAAAATGAGAATTAACCACTATTAGCTTGCATCCCCTTGAAATAATCTGGTGTTTCATCAATGATTAATAAGTTGCAGTGTTTTCTAATTGTCCAGAGATGTGTTTCTTGCTGGCTGGACACCTCCAGCAGAAGACAACCACACTTGAAGTCTCTGTCCCCAAGTTCCAGTCCCCAGAGAGACAACGTTTGGGCTCAAAGGGATGGAGGTGCATTCAGTGCCATGAGATAAGGATAACGGAGCAGCGCAGGGGCTGCCAGCTCCTGCATCCCTGCGATGCACTGGGGCTGCGGGCAGGGCACAGGCAGCGTCCAAGCACCTGCTCCTCTGCCTGGATGGGGATCCCAGCAGCTCCGCATCGTGCGTGGATTCCCTGCATCACTGGGGCTGCAAAACTATTGCAAGTGCTCTTATTTCTAATACAAACCCACGGCCACGTGCCAAACGATGCCAAACCATTGCCCGTGCGCTGCTGTGCTCCAAGGGTGATGGGGGCCGTGGCAGGTTTGGTGTCAAACGATGCCTTTCCTCCTGGTCGAGCAGCAAAGTTGTTTATTGTGTTACCCCACTGCTGTCCTCATCTTGTTCCCCTGCCATCCAACACTCTCAACCCTATTCTTTGACACGAAAAACCTGGTGGGCGCCCAGGTTTTAGAAAGAATAGCGGCGTGACAGAACAGAAAATAACCCTGTTGCGTTTTTCTCTCTCTCCCTCTCTCTTTTCTCTCGACGACTCCTCAAAAAAAAGGGCTCGAATGCCAGAGGCCGAAGCGGCAGAACTCGAGCGATGACATTGAGGTCCTCTCCACCGGGACGCCTCTCCAACAAGAGAGCCCCGAGCTGTACCGCAAAGGGACCACCCCGTCCGACCTGACGCCCGACGACAGCCCCCTGCAGAGCTACCCGCCAGCCCCTCCTCCACGCCGCCCCTGGGCCCTTCCTGCAGGAACAAGAGCGCCCACTTCTCCAGGCAGGTCTCGGTGGACGAAGAGAGGGGTGGGGAGATCCAGATGTTGCTGGAGGGGCGCGGTGGGGACTACCTGCGCCCCAACAGCTGGAGCGAAGAGAAGGTCGGCGGGGCGCGCGGCGTGAGAAGCGGGAAAAAAAAACGGGCAGCTGGGGTCGGCCTCCGTCCCCGAAGACTACAGAGGCCGGAGCGGAGGACACAAACATTCGGCCTCCAACCACAAGCAAAGAGAGAGGTGGACAGATTCCCCAGCCACGGTTTCATGGACTTCCCACCACAGGTCCCACAACCACAGCTCAGGGAGCTCCAAGCTGCTTGAGCTGGACGAGGAGAAGATGAGCAATTACGAGATGGAGATGAAGCCCCTCATGAGGATGGATTCTTATATGCAAGAGGTTCACACCCAAAAAAGACACTATAGCAAAGGGGGACCCTGCAGGAGCATGGCTGACGACCACCGCGGGGAAGAACGGGGCTTCGGGGTTCAGAGACTGAGGTCTAAGTCCCAGAACAAAGAGAATTTCAGGCCAGCTTCCTCTGCCGAGCCCACGGTGCAGAAACTGGAAAACCTGAGATTCGGGGACAAAGCTGAACCCCGGCTACTAAGGTGGGACTTAACCTTCTCCCCGCCACAGAAATCTTTACCTGTTGCACTAGAATCAGAAGAGGACAGTGGGGATGCGCTCAAATCCAGTACGGTAAGTAGGCAAAATTGCACGTTGAAATCCGGCCGAGAAACGCGGTGCGGAGCTGTTGTGGTATCGCAGCGGAGAGGCAGAGGTGACCCCTGAATTACTGTGGGTTTGTGCCTTGAATCGCCCCTCCTTGCTCCTCCCGTGCCCTGGAAATTGGTGCGGGGTTTTCTCTTGGTGGGAACAGCAGGTTTGTCACTGGAGGAGCAGCAAGTTGGAGTTTGTTTTGCAGTCCAGACGTGGGACCAGCAATAAAATTACATTATCGCTGGGATTTTTGAGCATTCGCCTGGTGGAAAAGCTGCAGGAGCAGGCAAGGTGTTGGTGACGCCGCTTTGTGGCAACTGAACTTCGCACTGGCCCGAAGTGGGACCCTGGTGCAACATCAGTGCTTAAATCCTGGTAGCTGGGCATTGGAGGGACAGCCCTTGTGAGACATCCAGTCCTGGGCTCCTCATTTTGGGAGACACAGATACATTGGGCATTAGTGACTGCTGCTGGGAGCAGCTGGAGGTGTTCAGGTGGGGAAGAGGAGGCAGAGCCATTGTCAAACACATGAAACAGCTGCTGTGAAGGGGATGATCCGTTCTTGATGAATGGAATTAATGGGTTTAAATCTAAGCGTTGGAGGCGGTGGTTAGCCATTAGCCATGGCCAGTGAGCAGGGGCTGGCATGTATTGCTTGGGGAGGCCGTGGTGGCTGGGAGGGATGAGGTGGTCTAAGACCTGGTTGGACATCTGCAGCTTAGATATAACTTAGGAGGAGGCTGAGCTCTGTGATTTTTGGGTCCTTTCCCAGTTTTCGATGATCCCTGGACTCACCATTGAGAGCAGGATCCTCACTTGTTCCCCCTGTTGGTTTGGCATTGGTGATGGGAGCAGTGGGGCAGCCTCCACCTCTCCAAATTGTCGAGTCAGTGCCAAACGCAGGGCAGGGCTGGAGGGGTCCCGTGTGGGTGTCCCCCAGCCCAGGCCAGACCTACACAGGAGGGAGGGAAAATCTGTAACTCTCAGGTGGTGACATTTTGGGCTCTGGCAGAAGAAAGGAGCTAAATGTCCCTGTCGGGGTGGCAGAAGGCGATGCTTGGTTGTTTGCGAGACAGGGATCACGACACTGAAGTGACATTTGTCAGTCACGCCAAAAGTTCATCACGGTCCCTAATGTGTGATTACGATTGCCACACCTACAGCGTCCCTGCTCCTCTGTCCCCCTGCCGATGGCTCTGCCAGCACAGCAAAGGGGGG